TTTTAATTAAATTTCTTATGACTGCTGTTTATATATAAATATTATAAAGTCTCTGTAAATCCGCACGAAAAATATATAAATTTTCGGTTTAGCGGTAGACCATCACACAGCAGATAGCTAATTACTATCTGCTGCTAAATGCTGCATAGTAATTAGCTATCTGCTGTGTGATGGTCTACCGCTAAACCGAAAATTTATATATTTTTCGTGCGGATTTACAGAGACTTTATAATATTTATATATAAACAGCAGTCATAAGAAATTTAATTAGTATTGGTAAATGTAAATGGAGTTACATATTCAAAAAATCCATACCACATACCTGATAGTAGATTGTTACTAGGCATACCACAAACCATAACTTTGGAAAGTTATCTCGTAGGCCAGGAATGGCGAATCTTTTTGAATCCGCATGTCATTTATCAATAGAAAAAGTAATTACTTTTTAAAATGTTATGTGCCGAATACCTTGTGTACCCCAATTTACAGGCAGTGTGCATTCCGAGCAGCAAGTGGTACCTCCAAGCTCTTTTCCCGGAACTACGCTCAGCATCAAGCATCACATCTTTGAACTGTTTCTGTGAATATATGTTCTTCATCTCAATTTATTTTGCTCATCCGTTAGCCAAATGTTTTCTTAAGTGCAAAATGCCTTTAGGAAGTATTTGGTATGATTTAAACGCTCTATTTTATGATGTAACAGAATGGATAAATCCAAACAAAAATATCTGAGATGTAAAAAATTGTCTTTCTTTTGTAAATACCGCTTCTTTTTGGCGATTTTTGCACTTTTCAGTTGCTTATACTTCGGCAACCACTTTATAGAAAATTTTAAAATTTCTCAAACTAACCGATAAAATAATTTTCTTTCGAACGAGATATTCGGAATTATTTCGGGTGTTTGGGAGCGGAGAAATCGACCCCCGAAAATAGGCAACTGTGATTCCTGTATATGTAGTTAGTCGGCGGCTTTTTTACTTGGCGGGGAGTCACTGCCGTGACTCCTGATTATCAAACAGAATTGAAATCTCTTCACAAAATTCTGCAATAAAGTGTAAAGAAAGGTATTTTATAATTTATCGCGATAATTAATAATGAGAAATTGTAATTAGAATTTTGATGTAATACAAATACAGTAGAGAGTCGATATCCGAATCAATTGGGGACTGGGGTTGTTCGGAAGATCGATGTTTCGGATAACCGATTATGTACGAAAAATATATTAATTTATCCCATCTTGACATTCGTCTCCGTTGCGTGTCGCTTCGCGTTGAATTTTCGTCGATGTTAAGCCTAACGAAGACTATTTTCTTTCTTTCTTTCTTTCTTTCTTTCTTCTCTAATATGGAGATTCTGGCTGGTCACCTTTTCTCCGATGAGCGAAGACTATTGTATCGTTAAAAATCATTTTTTTATTTTGTACGAACAAAATAAATATATTGAAAAATATAAAAACAATAAAAAATTATACTTCAGAAGTTAATTTAGTATCAAAAACGTAAAATATTTGAGTAGCCCAAGACATAGCCAAAGATTGCAGCGCCACAGCACTGGCGAAAATTTAAATTTTCCGACTGGAATTCTTTTGGATGATTGACTTTCGGATAATCGACGCTCCACTGTAATTCAAATAAATGATTTCATTTTATATCATCACGTTTATAATATTTAAATAGAGGTCAATTTCTCATAGAAAATCTTCCCAGAAGACAAACATTACTGTATACAAACAACATTTATATAAAAATGTAACTTAAATAACATTACTGAGCTGCAATTTGAAAAAATTGTAGACCTATAAATTCACATTTATCTGGGTCTTTACTTAATTTCGAGAACGGTGTTAGATAGATGAATGTAATGACAAGATATGAAACGATTAGGGGCAGGAAGCCCCTATGAAGTGTATATGAACTTTCGGTGCAAATTAGAAGTCATGTTATTTCAATTCAAAAATTCCCCCCAAAGGAGTACATAGTGACCGGCAAAACTTCATTGTTAGCAGGAAAAGTATGATGTACTGGGGCAAGAGGCTAATAAAATTGAATAAATTAAAAATTGCAGACTAACACTGTAATGATGTCACAATAAGTAATTGCTCACAATATATGGGCTCAGGACATCTTGAAAACGTCGGAAAATGCAAAAAATTTGGGTTTTTTTCCCCTGTATCTATGTATATTAGTGTGTGTGTGTGACACGATTTTGTTCACCCATTTTGAAGCTTAATAACTCCTGTGTCTTTGGTCGAAAATTTCTGAAATTTTGCGGGGAGGTTTGTGTATTAGGGGGATCGATTCCATTAAATTTTGGTAATTAAAAATCGAGGGGGTGAGAAGATAAAGGGGTCGTATGTATCTCCAGGTCATAAAATAACAACAATAATAAGCACAAATATATCCTTTTATTAAAAATTATAGATTATAGTTTACATAACAGCAAATAAAAACATAATATCCAGCAACGAATTGCTTAAAAAACCACTGTTATAAGAGATTAGTTTGGGGTCCCTGTTGGTGTGCCACTGTTTTCATTTTGTACAGATATTATATACAACGGGCCTCTAAACAACGGTCATTTTTTTCAGTGATTTTAGTTTTTTTTCTAACAAAACTGCAAATAAAAAAAACCTCCAAATAGCGGGGCGTCAGTGGTCTTTGTTCGCAGGTTTGACTATACATAAATGTATTACGATATCGAATATTTCGTTATATATCTGTTTACTTTAATCGCATTTTTAANCCCACGATAGGTATGGATAAAGCCATACCTATCGTGGATTCGGCCAGACAAACAATGGAAATGAGGGAAAGATCCTAAAGTATTTGTGACAGAATGTCCACGAGAAATCCCTGGTTTGTTAATCCTGATTTGATCTCGTGTCTTCCATAACACCGTTATGGAATAGGCAGATAGCCATTTTCTTGATGGAATTTCTAACTACTTATGAAGAATCTCGTTATATTGTACTTCGTCCTGTATATAATCAATTTGTTCTGTATAATCTACACGGAGCTGTTGAAAAATTAATGTTCTAAATACATTTAATTAAATTTTTAAAAACGAAAATTAATTTTAAATTTAATTAATTCATCATTTAAATTAATTTAAAAATACACAAATGATTTTTAGTCTAATTTTTACCAGTCATAAAGTGATTAATTGGTTTTAAATTTCCAGATTAATGAAAGACAGACGGACGGACGGACTGACGGACGACAGTGGAAATGTTTAGAGATTAAATTACGGATTTTAAGTTACCTTACAATATTTTACGGTCAGTTTACATCATTTCCGGTATAAGAAAATGCGAAGATACATTCGAGATTTAATTAATTTACGTCCCGAGTACAACGAATAAATCGGTTACAATTATATTGAATTTTTAAAAGTAATTTATGAATAACGTTTTTGGCCACAAGCAGCTAAAAGTCCCACGGGCCAAATTACTTCATCTTCAGTTTCTCTGACTCCGTATTTAAAGAAGTGGTTCTCACTTTGTGTCCAGAGTCTCTTTCTTACTTCGGGTGACAATCCTTCGAATAGTTGTTTCGGACATACCACTTCCATCATCCCTGAAAATATCAAATCAATTCGTCAAACATACGAAGAATGTACACGTAAAGCACACGTAACGTAACGTAAGTGATGTAACTTGGCGTTGTTATCCGCGTGGAAAATTATTCAGGATCGACAATGTCTCTACGTTGGAACAGGGGCACACGCATCGTAACAGGTGACGTAGCGTGGCTTTGTTACATGCCTTGAACGTCACGTCACGTCACGTCACGATTTTTGACGAAAGGAATCGTACATTCAGCCAATTAAAATTGATCATTTCCACGAGAGGAGGAGGGAAGATGGCGGAAAGTACGTACCTCATTCTCATTAAAACTAAGTTTCTTTGGTTCCAAAATATAATTATAGAGAAGAATAAAGAAATTAACTTACTCATGAAGTGTTCTCTACAAGTGAAAGGAACATCGACAATTTCGTAATTACTTTCAATTGCATTCAATCCGAACTTGGATACAAATTGCCTGAAGTCATTTCCCACATCTTCCCAATCGTGGGTCGGAGGAATTGTTGCTAACACTTCTTCCGGCTACAAAAGTGAATATCGAATAATATAAACCGTACAAATTAATTTAAAATATTATAATTTACCTTTATGTAAAGCCTCCAATCTCTATGTTTGGCCAAATCTCTTAGAGTCGAGTAAACCGGAGCTTTGGCAGCTATTAAGATACAGAAATAACCACCGGGTTTCAAAACTTGAGAGATGTTACCGAATAACTTATTATAATCGCCGATATAATTTAGTGCGTAAGATGAAAATATCTTATCGTATTTTGCAATATCCTCCGTTTCGATTCTAAAAAGATTAGAAATTATATTTTCAAAATTACGTTGGGATTAATACAAAATCTGCAAAGATCCTCACCTGTCCACGATGTTCTGCTCCTTGTATTCGATTTTATCATCGTGGTAATTGCTACGAGCGTAGTTTAGAAGATTCGGCACGATATCTATGGCTACAATCTTTTTAATTTTCGGGCATTTCGGCAGGAGAATCTGCTTTGTGGATTTACCTTGCCCACAGCCTATGTCTAATATCACGTCATCATCTGTCCAATCCATCAATGGGAAATGTCGATCGATCGTATCTTTTATGTATTGAGGGAATATCCTGGGACGAAACTTTTCGTATTCTTCGGGCACAGCTTCCATTTTTCTGTCTGAAATATTGTTCTTAATATTATTAATTGCAATATACTTTAAGTGAAATGGAGCAGAGTTACTTACTATGAACCGATCCGTAGAGAAATATGATAGCTTCTGACTTTTTCTTTACTTATATAAGGGACTCGAAGAGTCATTGATCTATCTATATAATTAAACAGTAAAATGAGATCTTATAAATTATTCCCAGAATTTCTTTTGCTATTATAAACAAAAATGTAGCCTTTCGACTCATGACGATCGGCTATTTTATCATTTTATCATTTGATATCATTACGCGACGACGTACATCAACTTTCAAATAAAGATGCCTGCACTTTAAATTAAGATATAAATTATACGAAATTAATTGAAAGTTCTAAAGGATTTTTTTAATATCATTTCTTTCCTTATTTTTTGGCTCTTGCCTGTGAACATTAGAGTTAGATCTAGTGTTTACAGCCGAACCCACGATAGGTATGGATAAAGCCATACCTATCGTGGATTCGGCCAGACAAACAATGGAAATGAGGGAAAGATCCTAAAGTATTTGTGACAGAATGTCCACGAGAAATCCCTGGTTTGTTAATCCTGATTTGATCTCGTGTCTTCCATAACACCGTTATGGAATAGGCAGATAGCCATTTTCTTGATGGAATTTCTAACTACTTATGAAGAATCTCGTGCTTTAATGCTGTCCTTTTATGGTTAAGCAAGATATTGTATAGGTTTGGATTTAACGCATCGCAAAACATAGGCTGTCTGCTCCTCGGGAGGATTTTCTCTTAGAAAATGTCTCTCAAATATGTATTAGCAAAAAACATCCTGAAAATCCCACGTTGTCAATCATTCCATCGGTGAGATGCGAACCCACGAGAACAATTTTATCCTTCGGCCACCGATGGGCTACATTGTAACAGACGTTCGTAATAAGTAGATTATTATTATTATTATTTAGTTTCATTCACCCCTTTCTTAAATTCTTATCAAAACATGATCCGTTCTCACAAACGGAAATGATGTTTATGTTACAAAACTCAATGTTTTTTCGTAGTATACAATTCGAAACGAATATATTTATAAAGAGTTGTTGTTTTAAATATTAATAGAAGAAAAATAATGAATATATTACAATTTGAATTATATATTCGCTTCCTTTTAAATTCCTTACCTACGGAACCAATTAACAAGATGGCATGTAAATAGATCCTAAACTTATGTGTTGTAATCTATGAAATACACCAAATTTTATACAAAATCATAATATATTAATAGTTTTAATATCAATACAAAATCTAATTGCCCTTCGATGGCTAAAACCACTGAAAATTAGTAGATGGTCGCCGGTTTGTATCTTATCAACGGGCTGGCGACGTAGATTTTTCCGGTTTCCTTCACATGTGTAACGCGTAAATAGGGGCAGTTTCTCATAGAATGCTCTCCTGAAAAACAGTCCCCTTTGGTAACGTATGTAATACCTAAATAGGGACTAGTTTCCATAGAAAGCCTTAGTCCTCCTTCGCAGATTGTCCATACATTGAATTACCTTATCCCATCAAACCAAAGCAAAAATTAATTTATTTTTTGTTAAATACTTGTATTTCAATTTTTAGATGAATTTTTACTTAATAAATCATTATGAACGTAATAAACCATTAATTTTAAACTTGTAAGCACACAATGCTACAGTTTGCTGAGAATCCATGATGGAATCAGTCTAAAACCCCCAGGAATTTTCGGAGGATGGTCTGTCCGGAATATATTCAAGCTCTTCCCTTAACCACCCGGCCTGCCCATTATGGGCCTGGCCGAACCCACGACATCCTTGAAAAATGAGGGCATCTTTTTTCAAGGATGTCGTGGATGGTTCTACTCTTGGACTTGTTTTTGCCCACAAGGCAGAAACAGTCCAAAAAAAAAAAAACAATTATACTCCTATACATAATTTAATTACTGAACTAATAATTAAAAACCTTAATTAAAATTATTTAATATATTAAATTATTTGTATATTATAGGCAAAAGTTAATATAATTTGTTGGAAATTTTAAAGATAAATTTTCTAAGTATAGTTTATTTAAAGTATAAAATTGACACTGGCATCATTCTTGAAAGTTATGATTTTAATCTTATCTTAGAAATATTTTTTTTAAGTTATTTTTAATATCAAAATGAAGAATATATATTTATAATATTTATATAAATTATTATTATTATTGAACTTAACACTTAATCAGGGCTCTGGTCCCTAAGCTTTTCATATCTGGTCGCGATATTTATCCGTATAATTCGATTAATGAAGGAAAGACGAACTAACGGACGACAATGGGAATGTGGAGATTACACCACGTCATTTATTACGTGTAAGCAGGCTTTAGACCTGGGCTAATCCGGCGCCCTTCCGTGCACGGAAAGGCCGGATTATCGAAAGTCTACTGTAATATAATTTTAATAACGTTTAACTATACATGCAAAACATTATATTATATAAATGCGATGAGTTTAGTAAATGTTTTTTAAATTAAACAAAGGTCTACGTTTAACTTAAAAAAATAATCTGAAAACAAGGCGATAGAAATTCGAATATAATAATAATATTTACAATAAGATAAAATATAAAATAATTCGCGATAACCAATATATTCGTTCCAATCGAAATCAATTCTTAGAAAATTAATAAATTGAAAATATAAATTTCCCATCACAAGATATTGTTTATTTGGAAATTTAACCGACTGTTACATAATTATTCCTGTTAATTTTTAAGCTTTATCTCGAAAATATTGTTTCATAAACTATTAATTTCTATGAAAAATATCATAAATACTATATATACTTTTTAATATATACATTAAAATATAAATATTAAAAATTCAAAGAGGCTGGCGGAATATGTAGCTCAAACAAATTTTGTATGCTCGACAAGAAAATTATTCCAAAACTCACCACTAGGGGATTTGTGGCGCTGAAAGCGACAAAAAATACATAGCTTACCCATAATGTACACGTGCTAAGAACAGTTTCTAAGTACGAACTGCCTGCGGCATGTGAAATGCCATTAGTATTATTGCAGATCGGCAGCAATGTTCATGATCATGCCTGCACGTTCCTTTCTTGTGAAGTTGTTTATGTCAAGAGTTATACCGTAAAAAATTTCTTCGAGTTTTTTTGGTATGGGTGGAAGGCGTGCATTCCATCTCTTTGCATGCCCATACCATCAATCAGTTTTCGTTACTCCACGAATCAATTTAAGCATGTTTATTATTGCTATTTGTATTATTATGTTAGCCTTCTTTAGTGTTAATTAAGGTCTCTGTACCATAAGTTATGGCTGATCGTACAACTGCCTTGTACACTTTCTTCTTCAACTTGTCTGGTATCTTCCTATATCGCATAACATTCCATATTTTACCATGATTCGAGCCTGACAAACGGGCTAACCTGGTAGAATTTCTCGGTTTTCCTCACGTCTGTATGGTCAGTTTACCATAGAAAATCCTCTTAAAATGCATTTCTTCTAGGCAGATCGGTCATGTGTTGCATTGCCTTATTCCATGAAACTCCTAAACAATACAGTTTTTCAACTAGCTTAGATTTGGCCATTTACTTCTCTTTACGCATCTCTTCCTCATTCACTTTCAAGCCAAGGTAACTGAATGGAGAACAATTCCTGTATGTGCATGCATATAATATGCTCTGTGGCATTTCTAATCTCGTCTTTTCTGTTGCTGAATCCATCAGAATGTTAGAAAAGGGAAGCTTAAACTTCTGCATTGTGTCTTATAACAAATGAACCTGTAGTTGATTTCCCTGGCATGAACCAAACAGTCCCCCTATAGCTACTTCTCCCCCCCCGAAATAGTCCGTGTAGGATTTCCTCCCGTATCTTCAGTGGATATGATATGAACTTTATGCCTCTGGATATGATTTTGTACTTTGCTTATTTGAAATGCTTCCTCTTGCGTAGGATAAAGTCATTCTATGAGCACATGTAACCACTTTGATATGTAAGGAGATGCTCTGTTTTCTTCCTAAAGAATTTCCTACGACCATATCTGATGCCACTGCAAAATCTGATCGGTTCAACACCTGGACACCTAGTGACACTAGATCATTAGATGCCCAGGTGATGAACTAATCATAGAAGTGTCACTAGGAGCCTAGTCACTAAGGAGTGTCAGCTTCACCAACTCCTTCAGTGAATGTTCTTACAAAACAAGTTGGTACCACGTGATATTCTCAACACATTTGTGTTGCAACTCACATAACTCAACACTAGATACCTCCTGGTATTATTTGTTCGATTCAATACGTCCCCAATACCTTCATTGCTATTTCTTATGTGTCTCCTCGAGATACCATCCTCCATTATACTTTATATAAAAAAAAAAAATATTTATTTAAAAATCAATGCACTAGATGGCGACACCTGCACATTTCAAATTTGAATTTGAAATTTCCATTATACTAACAATTAACGTTTGAAAGTCATTAAGATAGCGTTTTTTAGGTCTTCTACTGACGTAAGGAGTTGGGGACGTTTCTCTTTCAAAATGCCCTGAAGTAAATTGGGCGGCGGTGAACTCACATGCAAGTAATCTGTCCCCTTTCTACTGTAATTAATTCAAGAAAGTCAGCGATTTGCGAGAAGCGATAAGAGATTATTTCAGATAATCGCCGCCATTTTGTCGCAGTCGCTATCAAAAACATAGCAACTTGCCGTGATTATCGCGAGAACTCCTTCTAGCAAATATATTACAACTCAACGAATATAATCGCAGTGACCAGCCTCATTCTCGTAAAATATCGGAAAATAATCTCTATTTCTACTTTAGTATTACGGATTTATCGCGGCGACTAACGAGATGCGACAGGAAAAATTAATTTCAGAAGTATTTTCTCGCCGTCCTCTGTAGCAGAAGACTTTATCGTAGTATAAAAGTGTTAAAATTGACAACTTACATTTAAAAAGTATTCTCTGACGACACACTATTTTTTTTTTTTTTTTTGTTTTAGTACTTATAACAACTTGATAACACTACAGTTTATCGCAGCGATATTTGTAGTAGCATTTCGTCGCTAATTTTATAGCATCGCAAATGGCAGTCGCCGTTTGTATAAACCCGCATTAAGGCCATTCTATACAATTTTATTTCATAAAAACAGCATATGATATACAGTA